ATTACTTCACTGTTGTTTTGTTTTTCATACATACATTTTTTTTTAGTTTTAGCACTATTTTCAAATATCGACGTCCGCCTGTGTTTGGAATAACTCAACACCTCAAATCTCATCCATAAGTTTATTTGCCTATGATCTTTGCCTTTGCGTAATAGTCGAAATAGTCACCAATGAGATTTGCCGATTCTAAAGTCCATTGCTTAATATTTCGGCATTTTTCATTGTTCTGAAAAGTGTTCGTTTTTGCATTATTCGATGGAAAGTTTTACTACTTTAATTTGAACCAAATAAATAAGAGAAATTTAAAAATTAAGAAGTTTGCATTTTATTTAACCTATCAGTGTATGTCAGGTTGATCAACACTCAATTTTGGAATCAGGAGCAGAATTAGGTATTCATAATTTATTTTCTACTGCTCCGGGTTTCTTATTAATTACTCTTTGAAAACATTGCTTCTTCAACACAATAGCAAATAGTCAATACGTCGTAAATGCGTTTGCAAACAATGGCTTCAACCGTCAATATGTCGAAGCTTCAGGCACTCGCCCACGCGAACTAGCCCTACCCACAAGTAGAGCAAAGTTTTCCCAACCTGATGATGGTGTAAATTTTCGTGGGAAGTTTCGACAAATTGACGGTTGAAGTCATTGTTCACAAAAGCAGCTATGACGTTTTGACTGTTTGCACGAGACTGTTATTTGTACATTTAAAATAATGATTTGCTTTTTTATCGTTTCAGGTATGGAATAAAGTATTGAACATTACTCTGATTATCAGGTTAGTTTGAGGTCCTCGATATGAACTGATGCTTCTGTTTGAGAGACCAGAAACGACGTAAGCGTATGAACTAACAACAGTGCCCGCGCTTGGAATAAATAACCTCATGCAGCTTCTATCGTTGCGTAAACATTATTGCCATGAGATTTGTTAAACAAAAATCTACAAACTTAGGATATTTGTTTTATGAAATATTATCAAAGTTTTACTTTTCGATTGGCCCATAATAACAGCATAACCCTCCATGATAGGCCCCATTGGACACCATTAGTGTGCTATCCAAGCAATACATTTCACTCTTCTACCTCATTCGTGCTCCTCGATAGTGAACTGTAGAGGTAAGACGGGCTCATTTGGCTGTACCTCCGCAAAATGAGCGGCGATGGTTGGAAATCAGTTTTAGCACTATTTTCGAATATCGATGTCCGCCTGTGTTTGGAATAACTCAAAAACTCAAATCTCATCCATAAGTTTATTTGCCTATGATCTTTGCCTTTGCGTAATAGTCGCAATAGTCACCGATGAGATTTGCCGATTCGAAAGTCCATTGCTTAATATTTCGGCATTTTTCATTGTTCTGAAAAGTGTTTGTTTTTGCATTATTCGATGGAAAATTTTACTACTTTCATTGGAATGCATTTTTTGCATTGTGAGTGCGTGAAAATGCATGAGAATCTACGTGAGTGCATTCTTTCAGGAGTGCTCAATGGATGAGATTTGATAATAATATCCCGAACACTGTTTCTGCATTTTCGCCAACTACTTAAACTCCAGCATTATTTCTGGATTAACAATTTGTTGCTAAATAATATTGATTAACATTTTAACAGATCCAATCAGCATTAGTCGATTTACTTCCTCGGAGTTTCTTGTATTTTCTGTAAAATTAATTATTTTATCAAACTATGTAGGGGAAATGACGGCTGCGGAACTACTTTACCTTTAACTATCAGGGAGTAAATTAAGTCGATAGTAGGTAAAGAAGTGCCAAAGCCATTATTTCCCCTAGCGAAACTAGCAAGAAATGTGTTTTCAGCTTGTTGCCTTCTTGAGGCAAGCTTCCTCCAGTACCCTAATATGCGCTGATCGTTGACGCCATCTTAAAAAAAACCCTTTCGAGATCTCCCCTTAATGGAAATCCCCTGAATGCTTTGTTGAAAGCATTCTTCATTGACTGAAAAAATGATAACACAAATCCTTCAACTCAATCCGTTCAATCAAGATTGCATCAGTATCAATCATCCAATTTCCTTCATCCAGTTGAAATCGTCAGTAGAAATCGTACAACCGGGGCATTGTCAATAAATCTGCACATACCTTCCGGGAAGTGAGCAAATCTATTTCAATCCAAAACAAAGATCCACTCGGTCCAATGCATCCAGGCCAAAGCAATCAGCGTGCAATTTCCAAACTACACCTAGGCCACTACTGCTGCAATAGTGGACCCCCCTCCCCGTGCTGCTGTGCGCAAACTTTCCGGCCGATTTCGATAAACCTCTGCAAAAGCTGCCCGCTCGCGGCTCCAATCGATTTGCGGCAATTTCATAATCGAGTGCTATTTTAAACCGATTCAATTAACCCATCAATTGTCGTTAGCACAAGAGCCTTCTGCCCCCTCAGGTAATCGGCAACCTCGTGCTCACCACTCATGCAGAAAGCTCACCTCAGAGATATGCTTCTTAGTCGATCCAATACGGCACACGGCGGCCGCTAAGTGGATTTGCACTTCAGCACAAATAGATACACATTATGTTATTAGCTATCAACGCGCCGTCCACAGCACCGCCTCACACACAAGTGCCTATTAACTCTTAAACGATCCAAAGAGGCTTATTCACGGTTCACAGATCTAGACAATATGGATGTCTTAATCCGTCGGGCACATCCTCCTATACCGGACTCGGTCAATATATCTCCAGTTTACTTGAGCGATAAAAGAGCTTTGTATTTCTGCGCCTTTAAAGCGTGCTTTGGTCTAGTTTGAATTCAACCACCTGCCGCCCCTCCAGGGTCGCAATCATCGCCACCACCGCCGCCGCGGTGAATAGCCTGGATGTTATTTAATCCGTCTGAAGATGATGCCGATGCCTACAACTTATGTTTATGTTTGCTTTTGCATTGAGGTGAAGCGACTCTCGACATCGAAATGCAAGCTGCTCACCCGTTAGGATGCAAACAAAGCATGGAGGCTACTCGAATGAGAATGAGATGCGAGAGTGCGAGTGAGTGGTGTGGTCTATACGAATGTAGTAGGTTATGGCTACACAACACAGTGGAATCTTCAGAGGCTTTTTGGAAATGTTTTTTTTTAACAGTGTGGCTGAGTGCCATGCAAAGTTGTTCAATTTTCTTGTAATTGTTGGATAGAGGTTACATATGTGGCGTACACGCCAAGATCAACTTCACTTTGTGAAGAGTGTTTATTTGGAATAGTTTTAGATGGTTTTAGTCTTACAACGTAACTCAATGTTGACGGTGCCATAGTAGTGCCCCATTTCTACTACATTTCGCATAGACAATTTAAGAAATTCACACTTACATTCGATGTTCATTCCATGCATTATACGTGTATACAATTCAGTGGGTCTGTTTTGGAACTCAACCGGATCGTTAGGATTTTCAAAAGCAATTAAAGTAAATCTCCGATCACGCTTTCCTTCGGAAGGGAAGTAAAGCCGTTGGTCGCCGGTCCATGAGCTTTTGACCGGTCAATAGGTAGGGTTCAAGTGTGGGAACTGTTTTCCTGATGTCGGTAGCATTGGTACTCAGAACGAAAACAATATCAAGACGGAAGGCGTGATCAGAGATTTTATGCCTTAGAAAATCCCAGCGGAGCCCTTTGGGGTGTAAGGCAATCACGCTTACCACTACACCAAAGGCGCCACTGTTTATTTTGACTTGACTCGTGTTCATTTCGTCTTGCACTATCAAATGAACTTACAGTGAAAATAATGTTTCGTTTATACAACAAAAACGCTCGTTAGTTCTATGGATCCATTCGTTGTTACCTGCATCGGAAGAGATTCGTACACTTAACGAAACTAATGTCGTTAAAACTGTCACTCACAACTGATTTTATTTCATATTGGAACGAATTTTTTGTAAAATAAATACGAAATTTCGTGCTTCACCGTGCAGTGACAACTTATTGAATTACGCGGCAAATCACTTCACCGTGAGGGGCAACTGGTTATTTCACTTCGTTTCACCGTGAAGTGACACCTGTAATAAGGGTCAATACGAATGTTTCGTACAATTTACGAAAAGGTTGTTTTATGTACGAAAGCCGTTTTTACGAAACGAGCTCAACAGAATTAACGAAATAATATTTTTAGTGTACTTTTGCATTGAAGCGAAGCTGTTAAACGACCTTTGCTGGAGGTAGTTACGGGCGATTTTAACCAGATATAATGGGAAGTTGAAGTTACAAAGCTTGCACACAAGTCTGTCATGCCAAACATTGACAAACGCCTTTTCAACGTCTGGTGATTGGTAGAGTGCCCCTTTCTGAATCCAAACTGTTCCGGAAGGAGAATGTTGTTTTCCTCGACAAACTTGAGCAAACGATTGAGAATGAGTTTCTCGAACAATTTGCTCAGCGCTGAAAGGAGACTGATTGGCCTGTAGCTTGAAGACAATGTTGGATCCTTACCGGATTTGTGGATTGGTATAATTTTAGCTACTTTCCAGATGCTTGGAAAGTAGTGCAGTTCCAAGCATCTGTTGAAGATAGCGGTTAGAAGAGACTGCACTTTCATGCTGAGTCTCTTCAAGATCAAGTTAAATATCCCGTCAAACCCGGGAGCCTTCATGTTCTTGGTGTATTTCAGCGCTGAGCAAATCTGTTGTACTGTAATCATATCCACCGGAGGCACGACGCAACCTGATCAACGAGCGGACTTTGGATAGTCGAGCCAAGCAAATGCGATGAAGCGACATGCTTGCCGATCGCATTCACTTTCCCCTGTGGGGTGATTAAAAACCGATCGTCATCATTTTCGACTCTGAGAGGTGGAACGGGTTTGGGATGAGTTTTCAGGACCTTGGCTACCTTCCAGAATGGTCTGGAGTGGTCGTCCAGATTCTGGACAACATGCCCGAAAATTTCATTTTGGAGTGAGTCCATTCTGGAAGCAATCTGCCTGTTCAGATCGGCCATATCACGTTTGTTTTCCTGGAGACCTCTGAAACTGGCGTCTACGCACATTTCTCAAACTTACCCCTCACAGGAACTCGTCGAACGCATGTCTCGTCAGCCTCGGATATGGCCTGTTGGAGTCCTTCAATGCACGGTCGATGTCATCAATGGTGTCTAGCAGTGGGTTTTCATCGATGTTGCTGTCCACCATTCGTCCGTACTGCACCCAGTTGACATGGTGATAGTCTTTACGGAGGCAGCTTCTAGCAGGAACCACGTTGACACCGACTTCAGTCACCACCGGTTGGTGGTCGGAGCTGAGATCGTTGTGCGCCTCCGGCTTGGATAGTCCGATGTTTTACAGGAAAAAGTCCAGCGTGGAGGGATTTCCCGCCGGAGAGATGAAAGTTGGTTCGTCCGGAAATTGCACAGTGTTGTGCGTTCATGTTGTGCGTTCATGTTGTGCGTGGTCGAACAATAGACATCCGTTCCGGTTCCGCTGGTAGTTCCGCCAAGCTTCATGGTGGGCGTTCAGATCGCCCCCAACGATGAATCGGGAGCTACTACGGGTGATGGCGGTCAGGTCCTTCTTGAATTGGATTCCTAGTTTATTGCTTGCGGTACACTGGCGTGTGCAGTAAACAGCGATAAACCGGACGTTTCCAGTTGGTGATTCCACCTCCACACTAACGGCCTCGATGATAGAAGTGCGGATGCACCCCCCCCCCTCCCCCTCTGGAGCTGGTGCCATCAAGCCGGATAATGTTGTGGTCAGGCAACCAGAAGCTGTCGCCGAACTTTAGATGGGTCTCGGTTAGTAGGCCCACGTCGATGCTGTGACACCATACACCATACTGGATGATGAACTTACCGAGCATTTGTATCTGTTCGGGCTTATTGCGGCACTTACGTAGAGCACCGGTCATGTTGACGAAGATTTCCATCAGTTCATCTGCTAAGAACAGATCGGGATTATTTGTTTGAGCTGTTGGTTGTCTCCAGAATCCAGGGGGATGGAGAGCTTTGTCCAGCAGAAGGTCCAGACGTTTCTTTAGGGGGGGGGCGGATCGCACCCTTGGATTCGCTTGTCCATGAAGAGGCGGAAAGTCCTCTGCCGTGAAAGCCGGGGCCTTATCCTTCCTTCGTCCTGGTTGATTGTTGGTGGACGTTTGTTTTCGGATGCGTTTGAAATCCTCGCGTTTTGAGCACTGCTTGTCGGATCCTTGGTGAGCACCACCACAGTTGGCGCATTTGGACGCCACAGCTACATCTGCAGCACATTCGGAGGTGGCGTGGTTTTGAGCGCAATTGCCGCAGCGTGGCTTAATGTTGCAGTTGCTTGTACTGGACCCTGATTTCATGTTCGATAAACTTCGGATCGAAATGTGGTAGGCCCCTGATGACGACCTTGAACGGTTTTTCACCGGGGATGTCATGGGTGAAGAATTCCACCTTGCAAGTCCTCAAGTAGACGATGACCAAGTCATATTCCGCTTTCGTACGGAGCACCACCTTGGGCCGACTCTGCCCAACTTGAATTCGGCTTTGACGCCCAGCGACGCCAGATCCGCGATGAGTTCGTTAAGATGGGCATTTTTCACTACCAGCAGAGGTAGCTTCACTTTTGCCGCGCTCATGTCGGCAGCATCACCGAAATCTCCGTTCGTCGTAGAGGCATCGTTGCGACCAATCGTGCCATCGGACTGGCCCCGAATCTTCTTTCTCTTCTTGCTGCGTTTTTTCCGTCACAGCTGACTGAATATTCCCATCCATGGGGAGAACAGCAAACCTGTTGGATGTAGGTACCCGAGCTGTCACTATAGTTATCATATTCATCGGAATCGTCATCATTGTTACAAGGTTCACATTGCGGATTAAGAACTGTGTGCCATAACCAATGTTCCGATCTTGGGGTCTGATCGAGCCGATGCAGACTTCATCAAATCTGACAAATTGGCCTCTAGAGAAGTTTTGCGAACAAGATGGGGACGAATATATAAATAATTTTTGTAGCAAGATTCACCCGCTTGTTCATCCACAAAACTCAAAGAAAATGGCTTTAAAATAAACGCCCAGCTTATCCACGAATTCTGCTAAATGTTTGTATTTATGAACACATGGAGGTGGATTTCTTATATACGGAAACTCTGTGTATACCTGCTCTTCAAAGATGTTGTAGAACTCTGCTTACTTGTCCTTGTTCAAAAAATGGTTTGACAAGGCCAAACAGCTTATCAAACGCAGGTTTCTCACCATATCAGCATCCACATTAAGAACTTTTGCAAACTTTTCTGGCTTAGAGAGTAGCCGTTTGGTCATGTTTCCATTATTGGAACTTCCGCTACCTCAAATTTTCTACTTGATTTATTAAATTATATTTTATTATTATGTCAGCACAAAATGAGACCATCACCATTAAATTCCTCATAATTAAAAAAAAAGTAAAGTGCCCGAACAATTAAGATAACAGGCCTTAATTCGTATAAAAGTATATCATGACTTGTTTCCTTTAGTAAAAGGGGGAAATCGGGAAAAATGGATAATTTACTGAAATTTTCTCAAGATGAAACCATCACCATTCAATTACTAAGTCATTTTTAAAGTAATACAGTATAGTATGACAGGCACTAATGCGTATAACCGTGTAACACTACTGAACGTTACTTCATAAATAGGAGAAAATTAGGAAAAAAATGGCTCCATACATCAGCTTACCTTTCGATGTAATCTAAAACGTAATTTTTGGATCTCTTGGGTGTTTTCCTTCAAGAAGGACTATCATTGGACAGGTTTTCTCATCACTGACTACTAACTTTAAAATAATATGAAAATAAGGTAATAGTGGTAAAAATTACTAAAATACATACTCTGCACAGACTGCTGATGTATTAAACCATTTTAATGGATTTTCGAAATGTTTTTCTACAAGAGTGACCATATTTCAGAACGTATATTAACCAAAATGAGGTATTTTTTTAGTCATTTATACAAAATTTTAATAAATTTGAGTAAAATGCTCCAAAAACCCCAGTTTTCCCTATTCTGCACAGGACGAAACTATTTCCACTGGATTCCTGAGACTTTTCCCCAAAAGAATGATTATATTTGCAAAGGTTAAATCAGAGATAATGAATTTTGCTCCTTTATGTCTATGTTTTCCCACTGTGCAGTGCAAACCGAACTTTTTGTCAGTGTGAACCTCAACCTGAGCTACACGGTAAGAAAAAAGTACCCAACGGCCAGTTCACTTTTACCTATACTTTTGACTAGCTTGTCTCCTTTTCTCCTTCTAATGTTGTCAAAAACGGAGGAGCAAAACCACCCAACAGGGATAGTAAAGTGTGGGAACTCAACGTTGTGTATAATCATGTTTACCTAGTTTTGGGTACAACTAACTTACTTTTGGGTAGAAAGCTAGTGGAAAATTCCATACTACTTTGACCCACTTTACCTACTTTTGGGTTTCTGCACTATAGTGCCGAGATGAGTGAACAGAACTTACTTTTGGGTACTTTTTGCTTACCGTGTAGGTTTTAAAATCAAACGAGAAAACTTACGTTTGTCAGAAAACAAGCAGACCCAATCTTGATACCCGATAAAGGTTGGAACTGAATAATAAACGAATTCGCTATAAGTGAAATCAGCTGATGTCATGTGGAATAAATATTGCAATACCTGCTTGATCACTATCCATTTTTGTAAATTAATGTGAATATCTGGATCAACAATAGAAAAGGGCCCATCAGCATTTGTAAATTTCCACATTTCCAAAGCCCATTCCTCACAAATCGAAGGAGGACCTTTTTTTATCCTCTCTTCGGGACCTAACACTACTGCGACCAGTAAATTGATCTATTGTACAGGGTGCGTGACGAATTTTTGCAGTAAATGGCATATTTGAGAAAAAATACACCAGTTAGTTATTCTAGCAATGAATTTTGTGCGATTTATTTTCTTTCGCAACATATGGAAGGTAACGGCGCCGGTGGTGTAGTGGTAAGCGTGATTACCTCTCACCCCAGCAGGCCTGGGTTCAATACCAGTCGGCGCCGCCGGGATGTTCTGAGGCATAACATCTCTGATCACGCCTTCCTTCGGATGGGAAGTAAAGCCGTTGGTCCCCGGTTCATGAGTTGATGGGTCGATAGGTAGGGTCCAGGTGTGGGAGCTGCCTTCCTGGCACGTCGGTAGCATTGGTGCTCAGCACGGAAAACAAGATCGACGGAAAAAAACAAACCAAAGGAAAAAAAAAAAAGACATATGGAAGTTGTAAGTAAATTAATTCAAAAAAATTGCCTTCCCTTTCGACGACTGTAGTTAGACGCTTCCGGAAACTGCACTATGCACGTTCTAAAATGTTTCGATCCATAGATGTCATCACTGCCTTGATTTTAGCTTTTAGCGACTTAAGTGTGGTGTGAGGGGTTCTATTGGTATCCCGTTGGACGACGCCCTATACAAAATAATTCAACGGATTGATATCGGGACTGCTTGGGGGACAAATTTCTTCCTCCCAAATTTACGAAATATTTTCCGTAAGCCATTTCTGTGCTTTATTAGCAGTATGACCAGGTGCTCCGTTTTATCACTTTACAAAGCCTTTTTTATAATTATACACTGTTCTTTCAGACACATTTACCGACCGAATTATTTCTTTCATGCATACTCCGGCGCGCAACAAAGCGACAACGGCTGACAGATTGCTCTCTTGTTTCGACATCTTTACGTTTACTCAACATTGTTTGTTTAAATCTTACACCTAACAGTATAAGCTATCCAGTGCTGCCAAATATATCTAAATCATGATGCACAAGCATGAAAAATTACTATTTGAAATTTACTGCAAAAATTCGTCACGCACCCTGTAGTATATCCCGTGCCCTTACTTTAGTGCATGTCGTATTACTCCATCACACTCTAATTGAAATGTCCCGCTATTTATACGCTTCGGAATGTTGAAACACCCTCCAAAGGCGCGCCCCTTTTGTCAGTCAAAGTTGAATTCCTTAGCAACAAAATTAAGAAATGACACCGATAATGACCATGCATCAGAACCCTAGTCGCAACCACTTCAAACTAGGGAACAACGAATAGAAGATTAGGAATCACATAGATGAAGACAACTAACTCATTTTTTTCCTTGTTTCAAGATCATCCTCGGTAGACAAAGCCGAGTCTTGTCACTATCAACAAGGCATAAAAAGTAACACTAAGATGTGTTACTTGCATTTCTGTAAAATCATGTTCCCCTAGTTTGAAGTAGTCAGGACTAGGAATTGGTGGTAGATCTTACATCCCGTAACGTACCACGAAAAGGTGATCTACCCACGTTACGGGGCAAGGCCGCCCATACAAACCATCGTGTAAATAGAAGTTTCCCCTATCCGATGATGGTGTTGATTAGCGTGGGTGGCCTTCGCTTTCTGAGTAAAGGGCTTTGGAACGGTTTGTTTACAAATGCTGATGGGCCCTTTTCTATTGTTGATCCAGATATCCCAACAACAAGTAGAGACACGAAAACAACGGCACTGCGGAACGATTTTTTCTAACAAACCAACGCGGTTCAACAACTGGCAAGTTTGAACTGATGCCACAACGCGATCAGTTTAGAAAAACAAATAATGAGTACAGAGCATTGTTACCCTACCTCTGAAGAATACAATGCATGCATTCAGAATCTGTTTTGGCTTATTTTGGCCATCTAGCGTAGAACAAATACCCCTCCGTGCGTCGTTGTGACGTGACTCTCAGTTCAAATCAAATGGAGATGGAAATACAAGACAAATTTATAAGAAAATTTCCATTTAATTTTGAAGAGAAGCTTTAGAAGCAGAATTCTGAGAATAATTCCAAAAAAAAATGTAGAAAAGAGTTTCAATTGAAATAATCATATTATCGATCATTTTGGGACATCCTTCTACCCGTGATTTAACGAAAATAACGCAATAAATTCTAGATTTATCAAGCTTAGCATGAATAAGGCCGTATCATTAAGAAAAAAAATATCAAAATATTGTTCCACGGCAAAGTTCGAGTAGTAGGAAACGTCATTTCAGTATTCAAAGGGAAATTATCTGAAAGAATCTAAGGTTATGCTGAACCAAATTCCAATGCAACTATCAAGACAATTCTTGGATTATTTTTAATGGAATACCGTGAACATGCTGAAAAATATTTTAATAAAATAATACAGAGATTTTAAAGAAATTAACTTCAACAAATTAGTGGGAGTTAAGGATAAAAAATTAATGGTGGAGTTTTCTCAGGAGAAACTCAAGAATGTTTTTGACGAATTCTGAAACGCGTTCTGAGTAAACTGCTGAATAATTTTATATCAATTATTGGGAGTAT